TCCAAATGGGCCTGTTAGGTTGAACCGTATCCCCACCCCGACCCCTCAAAAGCCCGAAGAGTTATTCTACTGTTTTATTAGAAAAGAATTTTTATTTTTTCTGAGCAGAATTGGATGATTAAGAATGTTAGGAAAGCCAGTGAGTAGGGGTAAATGATTTATGCAGATAAAAATACTTTAGGCCAGCCTCAGTGGCTCATGCCTATAATCCCAGCACTCAGGGAGGCTGAGGCAGTGGGCTCGCTCGAGCCCAGAGTTCAAGGCTGCTGTGAGCTATGACCACATCACTGCACTCCAGCCTAGACGACAATGAGACGGCGAGTGACCTTGTCTCTACAAAAAATGAATAAGATAAATAAAAAGGACTTTGCATGATGTGTCATCAGCCAGCAAATACTAAGCACGCTAAGCTTGAGAGTTCAAAGGTGGAAAGTCCTTACCTCCAACCTTAACAAGTTAGGGGTCGTGTTAGGGAAAATAGATATATGTCCAAAGAATAACTTAACAGTACACTTTCATCAGTGCTATGAACAAGGTACAAGGAACAGTGGTGAAATGAAGACTGAATTTATAGAATGTGCATTTATTGAAATAAATACTGCTCTGCCTCCATCTGAGAGACCCTGGGGTGCCAAGCCCTGTTGAACTAGGGGGAGGAAGGCAGGCCCCCTCCCTGGCTCCTAGAACTTGAAGTCTGGGAATGACAGAGAAATTCTAATGGCCAGACATAAAGACGGTGCTAACTCTCGCTTTTATATCCTGTTGCAAAATCAGGGCTATAAATGTGGAAATTTTGCTGTTAATATTTTAATACATGTAATAATTGCTGCATTTTAAAAGGACTTTAATGGCTTCCTTAAGAAAATTACAATAAGCACTGTGCACGTTACGACATTCTTAGACTTTTCTTGCTGGCCTAGCACCAAGAATTCAAGCGAGAGGGTTGTGAAATGAGAAGCTAGAAGGGGATTCTTTCTGAGAAAAATGTGAAAACCCAATTTAGAGGTTTTCTTTTTTCTGTCTTTTTTGTTTGTTTGTTATTCGTGTCCATTTGTATTATAATACTGACACTGATTGAAAGTCACCAATATTCTTGGGTCCAGAAGTGTTTTGAAGTTTGGATTTTTTTTTTAATTTCAGAATATTTGCGTTATACCAGTTGAACATCCCTAATCTGAAAATCCAAAATGTGAAATGCTCCAACGAGTGTTTCCTGAGAGTGTCATGGTCGTGCTCAAAAAGCTTTGGGAGTTTGGGGCTTCAGATTTTGAACTTTTAGATTAGAGATACTAAAGGTATAAATGCATCCTCTTTCTCTCGTCTTTAACCAAAGCACCTGACTGTTGGCTGGAATCTGTATCTTATCATACTTGCTTTTTCCTGAGTTTGATAATTAACACATTGAAGGTCTCGAATGTTCTCAAAACGATGTGAAATCTGCAACATGAACTTCCATTTGTTCACTTCTTCTGTTTGGGGAGCTACGTCTGCACATTCTGGCAAAGTTAACCAAAAATGCCAGTGTATGTGCCATTAAGGTTGGTTTGGGTATGCTGAATATCTTCACGTAAAGAAGTCTGTTCCATTTTAGAGAAAGCTCCGGTCAGGTTGGCCTGCTCAGGACAGACTGATCGGTGTTCAATGCCTCTCCACTGCAGGTCCTTCATTCCTTCACTGATGCCATCTTTGATGAGTGGATGAAGAGGTTCAAGCCTCCCGCAGATGCCTGGCCTCAGGAGCTGGCCCCGATTGGCCACAACAGGATGTACAACATGGTTCCTTTCTTCCCTGCGGTGACGAATGAGGAACTCTTTCTAACCGCAGACCAACTGGGCTACCGCTATGCCATTGATCTGCCAGGTGACTGATAGACCTTCTGAATGGGGGATTCATTCATCTTCTAAAAGAGCTTTCCTTCTTTCTCTCTTTTTCATGTAAACCAAGTCCTTTAATGGATGCATTCAGGTCTAGTTAAGTTTATTGGCCATTTTCTAGGCCATATGTTTTTAGCAAAATGAGCCTTTAAACTACCAATTAAACATCAGAAAAAGAATAGTTAGCAGATAATCGCTTTAGAAAACTCAAAGTTATTAAGAGACCTTATTTCCCAGAGAAACTATTTAATCCTACACTTGATTTGGTGGTTCTTTCTATATGAATCAAAACTAGCCCTGTGGTTGTGTGAAATGTCTAGCCACTAAGGAAAAGTGAACTAAGCGGATGTGGACAGGAACCAGCTGGACTTACATATCATTCCTGGAAGGCAGGGGCTGGGATTAGGTGAGACAAGTCCAGCATCTGCCTCAGGCACAAAATTCAAGGGCAGGCCAGAAAACTCAGTAACTGAAGAAAGTAATAATATAATGTAATGCTTTTAAAAGGTCAAAATGAATTTTAAAAATTCACCATGAATAATATACCACCAACATTTTACATAAAGACAGACTGCTGTTGTTTGTTTTGCATACCCACATTATTTTGCCACTGGGTCAGTCATTTCCAATTGGCCTCTACCCCCCTTGCTGGTAGGTTTATGAGGGTTGACATGGGCCTGCCAGCGGAGGGGACTACCTGGGACTCTACATGGATGTTGTTCAAGCTAGTATGAGGGCTGTCTAGAAAGAATCCAGCCATGTAATATGGAAAATACAAACATGGCTGGACACTTCCTGGACTGCCCTTGTATTGTCCAGACATGTTTTTTAAAAAGTTGTAGATCTTCTATTGACTTTTCCCCTTGGTTCAGAAGGTGGGAAGATATTTTGTTTACGTGTACGTGGGGCACACACTTCTCTTTCTGGCCCAGGTCCCAACATGGCTCCATGTGCCATTTAAAGACTCTTAAATGGCATTAAGGTTGAGAAAAGAAAGGTAAACAATGAAGAAAATTTTAATATTTCCAACGTAGGACAGGTTGAGAAAAGTAAAACAATGAAGAAAATTTTAGTATTTCCAACCTATAAACTAGGACAGGTTGAGAAAAGTAAAACAGTGAAGAAAATTTTAAAAATTTTCAAGAAGCTAAAAAACACAGGGCCTACGTGCTGGTGGCTTTCACACCTGTCTTATTTCCCCTAAGGCTCAGCCTACCAAGTAATCAGGATAATTTCTGAGCTCAAGCTATCTCTTTCAAGCCTGGTTGTATTGGAAGCCTTGGGAAGAGGGTCACCGTGAATTAAGGTGACATCTGTGAGAGAGGCTGAGAACTGAGGGTCTTAAATGCTAGGAGAAGAATTGTCATATGCATCGGCAATTCCCCTTCTGGTATATACCCCAAAGAATTGGAAGCAGCGTCTCGTAGAGACATTTGCACACCTGTGTTCATAGCAGCATTACTTACAATAGCCAAGTATGGCAGCAAACAAGTATCCATCAATGGATACGTGGATAGACAGAATATGGCGTATACCCACTATGGAATACTATTCAGCCTTAAAAGGATCGAAATCATACTGAAAAGATGAACTTTGAGGACGTTAAGCTAAGTGACAGAGCCAGACATAAAAGGACAAGGTGGCGTGATCCCACTTATATGAGAATAGAAGATAGTCAAATTCATAGAGACAGCAAAATAGCTATTACCAAGGCTTGCAGGGAGGGGACAATAGGGAGGTGCCACTTAGTGGGTGTGACATTTCAGGTCTACAGGATTGAAAAAGTTCTGAGGGGGGATGGTGGTGATCCACAATAATGTGAATGTACTTAATGCACTTAAAAATGGTTAAGGTAGTAAACTGATGTTAAATGCATGTTATCACAATTTTTTTTTAGGGTAACTATTAGAAAAGCTAGGCAGAGGATTTGGAAAATAACAAAAGGTAGTCCTTTGGGGTTCCTGAGCAAAGAAATGGCAGAATAAAAAAAAAAAAATCTGTATTTTCAACAGATTTAGTGCTGCTAGACTAGATTGGAGAAAGAGACAAATTAAAATCCTCTTGCAGGAATCCCATCAGGATAGGACAGGGCTCTCTGTGAGATTGGAGGAAAGGGACCAGAAAAACCTCATCTTATAATTACATTTTAAGCCAGAAGACCTGCTCTGTAACCCCAGTGAGAGCGCAGCAGTGATGTAGCAGTTCACAGCACCCTCAAACTGCTGGGCTCATGTGACGCTCTTGCCTCAGGTTCCCAAGTAGCTGGGACTACAGGGGCACACCACCATGCCTGGCTAATTTAAAAAAAATTTTTAGAGGCAAAGTCTCAGTATATTGCCCAGGCTAGTCTTGAACTCCTGGGTTAAAGTGATCCTCCCACCTTGTTCTTCCAACATGCTGGGATTACTGGTGTGAACAGAGCATCTTATACTTAGATGAGTGTAAGGCATAGCATAAATTCAGAGGAACTGAATTTAAGAAGACCTGGTAAGGAAAGATCATTTTTTTAAAGAAAGGTATGCATATCTTCAAAATGAAATGGGGCTCGGCGCCGGTAGCTCAGTGAGTAGGGTGCCAGCCACATGCACTGAGGCTGGCAGGTTCAAGCCCAGCTCGGGCCTGTTGAACAACAATGACAACTGCAACCAAAAAATAGCTGGGCGTTGTGGCAGGCATCTGTAGTCCCAGCTACTTGGGAGGCTGAGGCAAGAGGATCGCCTGAGCCCAACAGTTGGAGGTTGCTATGAGCTGGATGCCACGGCACTCTACTGAGGGTGACATAGTGAGACTCTGTCTCAAAAAAAAAAGAAATGTGTTAATTTTGTGAAAAAGCATTTTAAAAATATATTTGAGTAGAGGATTGGCTTTAGCATATGGAGATTCAGATTTTATTCACAACAATTTAAATGGGTACAAATATCATCCACTTCTATTATCCAGTGTCTCCTATTATAATAGACCCTCTGGTCCTTCTCACTCACTTATCATCCGTAAGAAGGATGAGGCAATGCAGAATTTCTCCACTGAGGGCTGCATAGTTCGCAGTTCCTCAGATACCATTTTAGCATGCATTTTTACAAATGAGCTTGTAACTCGCAAAAGTAGTTATATACTTCCTCGGAGGGTTTATTCTGCATAAGCATTTGTTGTAACAAATTTAAAAAATCCAATAAGCTGTATTTAAATAATGGGATGCCATTTCTGACTTTCTCAAGGAAAACAATTGTGGATATGATAAATGGTGAGAAAGGGGAAGATAAATTGTATTCTAGCAAGAGTAGTTTTGCTTTGTCAACAAAACTCATGTGCAAGGCAAATACATTTATTCTTTTCTTTCTAAGTGTATTCAGCTGAGGAAATTCTGACTGTCGACCTTCCTCTCTGCTTCAATTTTAGTTGAGGAAACTCCTTCTTGGACCACAGCCTTCTCTGTGGTTCTGGGACTCCTGGTGGCTCTGGTTGGTCTTTTTGCGCTGCTGGTTTTCCTTCAATACAGAAGACTTCGAAAAGGATACACACCCCTGATGGAGACACACCCAGGTAACAGGAGTTACACGGAAGAAACATAGGGTGCTGTGCCTTCCCTGGAGAAGATGCCAAGTTCCAGGTGTGACCCTGTCAACAAACAAACTCATCTTCACTGTTCTTCTTTAGTTGAACGCCAATGGCAGGGTCCTCCTCTTGTAACCATGATCCTGAATTCAGAAGATGCTTAGCTGTAGTTTCTCTTTGCTTGTTTGTCTAACAAATGTAAGCTAAAGTGCCTGGGGCTATCTCTATCATCAGATAAAGAGAGGGGAGACAGTTTGTGTTATCTGATAATAATTCCCCATATGGATTCAGCCTCCTCCCATTCTGAAAGCACCCCCTCCCTCAAAAAAAAGAGTGGATTCATTTAAATTTATAAGTCTGTGTAATTTGAGACTTGGACAAGACCATCATTGGGTTCTTAGCACTTCGTCTTCATTCGTGATGACGTGGAGATGGTGGTGACAGGCGCTAGGTGACTCCCAATGTCCCTTTTAGCTATAAATGTCTCTGCTTCCAAGTGTCCTCCTTCCTGATCATCTTCCTTTGGCTCCCTTCTCTTCTGTTCTCTATTTTTTTTTTCCTCTCCAGCTTTGAAGATACAAAAGGGCCTTTTTAAAACACAGGATGTGGAATGATTAAATGAAGAATCAATTCAGCTCCTATTGTGTAAATTAGACTTCACGGAGTTTTTTTTTTAAATCTGCAGTTCTTAACAGCTAGGCTTATTATAAGATTTAATAGGTGGATAAACATTGATCCTATAGTCATAAATAAACAGAGAAAAAGAATAAAATTATAGAGCTTAATTAATACACTGTTCTAAACCTATTAATGAATATAGAATCACTCTGTTCAGGGGAGGCTGCTTGGAGAAGGCTAGTGAGACTATAATAGTGAAAGTGAGACAATTTGATTAGAGTCCCATTACTCTGCAGTCTCATTTGGCTGATCCCGAACCAATTCCGTTTTGCTAGGTAGCCTCAGATGAAAAATTATTCCGATGTAATGTACCGGGCTTATTTTTAGAGTCGACTTTAGAAGCATTAACTCTGCACTGTACTGACAGTTACTTAGGAATGCTAATCAGTTAACTATTATCATTTGAAAGCAAACCATCTGTACAAAACATGACAATTCAGAATTAAATGCTGATGTTCTGCTAAGCAATCATCTGATCATGAGAAATAAGAATGAAGCAATCTGTGTCATGATGTTCAGACTCATCTTGATGGGCCCCACTTCTGAGATATTAATGGTTATTGAGATTTCAAGGCAAATTTTATCTGCTCATATTTGATATCTGTGCATCTAGAGGGTGGTCTTTCTCTCAGCTCATGTTGGTCCTGCTAACTGGAATGGATGTGTGTACAGAATGGCTGTTAAGAGGGCCCTGGGGCTGTCTTCACACTAGAGAGTGCAAGTTTCATTAAGAACCGGTGTTATCAGGACTGCTACAGTCAGAGAGGTGGACAAAACCCAGATGGAACTGAAGTTGAGTTGGAGTCTCATAAAGTTACAGGTGTACATGAGAGCAGACTCAGCACAGTGAAAGGAACCACGATGGCCCAGAATCCTTCCTGGGGTGAAACCCTACTTTGGGCTTTCTAGCCTCAGCTACACGCATAGATCTCAACTCCTACCATCCATAGTATTCATGGAAAACCCAACAGTGTATTGTTAACATGATGCCCTCTGGAAGGTTTATGCTGGAAGCTCAGCGTATTTGGGGAACAGATTTTTAAATCCTACTTTTAAGGCAAAAGAGAAATATACAAAAACAAAGATATAATTGTGCGTGGTCCATATGTTCCTGCATAGTTGTATATGAATCAATTATATGTTAAAAGCACCAGGGGAAATTACCTTTTATAGGTGAACTATTATGAATAATTCTATAAAGCAAATAACAACCTCTAGCTTATCTTTCATGTAGATCAGAATTTTCATACATCACCTTTTCATAAGGTTTGGCTATAACAAGATTTATTGGAGGTAGAAATAAATAGCAATCATTTATACTTAGCTACTTTTATCTACAGTGTGTTCAACTTTTCATAAGTATTATGTTCCTAAAAGAAATAATTTCCTAATTTTTTTTAGCTCATAGAAGAGGAATACAATTTTCTAGCATTTTCTAACCTTATAATGAATCAATTATGGATGGCTTTTAACAAATTTAAGGTTATGATAAACCTGAGGAATAAAAACTTGTATTTACTTCAAATATTATGCAAATAAACTCAGAAAACGTCACTGAGCATTGCAGGGCCACAGTTCTCAGTGACAGGGAAAAAATTTAACCTTGAAAACATGAACCGATTATTTTACATGCTCATATCTTCAGTATTAGAAAAACGGATGTGTATGAATTATGATTTCAATAGAAATGCTTTTGTAAAGTTAACATTTAGAAATGAAATTCAATAACATTTTTGTTTCATGAATTAAATTCTCTCCTAATTCTAAAACTGTTTGACACACATTTGTATCTTGCTTAGAATTTAACATTGTTAGTTATAAAACTTCTAATGAACACTTTTAATCTCACATTAATAAGTAGAAAATTTATTAAAGAGGTATATAAAAATAAATGTTGTTTTGCAAATTATTATTTGTCTTTTGGGTATGACTGCTTTTCATTTTTACTTATCAATTCTCATCTTTTGAGCACTCAAAATACAAATCTATATGAAAATACATGTATATGTAAGATGCATGGTGGGTGGCACCTGTGGCTCAAGAAGTAGGGCGCTGGCCCCATATGCTGGGGATGGCAGGTTCAAGCCTGGCCCCTGCCAAAATTGCAAAAAAAAAAAGCATGGTAACTCCTGACTTCTGAAAATAAGTTCTTAAACCAATATTCTGCTTTCTGATGTCTCTAAGCCAGGGATTCTCAACCTTCCTAATGCCACGGCCCTTTAATACAGTTCCTGTAGGTCACAACCCACAGGTTGAGAACTGCTGCTCTAAGCTATTGCTACTTCCTGGATCTCATTGAGCAGGTTGAAAAAGGAGACACCAGCCTTTCACAGGTGTCTCTGAAGTTACTTGTCATATTCCCACCATCTGATGATTGACCCTCAGGTGGAAGTGGGATGCTACTTCAAGTCACTGACCAGGGAAGAGGGGTTGTAGCTTGGAGATCATCCAGGTAGCCCTTCAAGGTCAGTCATCTTGTTGGAGACCCCCAGAAGGAGGAAGAAAGAGCCAGTGAGGTAATGGTTACTTGGTGTTCACTTCCACATCCCGACTTGAAGTTGAAGGTCAACTCTACATCCCAGGTACAGCCCTACTGTCATTATATCAAAGACATTAATTTAAATACTTAGAAAATGTTGGTGGTGAACTGATGCAAGTGCATAAACTAGCCAATTCACTCTTAGTGGGAGGTAATTACTTTCTCCAAGGTAAAGGCAAAACCTAAGGTTTTTACCTTTCTATTTTATAATGCCTTGCTTATCCTTTATAAATATTCTTTGAATGAATAAATGAATGAATTAGCTAATCTCAAAGTAAGACTTTTCATTCAGGGCCTCTGGCATCTGTTTTACCATGAGCTGCCTACAACATTCTAGGGCGGATTCCTGTTCTCTGCCATGAAATCACCAACAACCTACCCTACCAATTTTGAGTTGTACAAATGCTACAACTCAGGATTTTACTCTATGTGACCGAACACAAGGGGACGCTCTTCAGCCATGTTTTCTTTCTAGATGGTTTTTCTTTCCACCATGGGGAGGCCTTAATTCTGCCATTTATAGGCACTAGGTTAGAAAGTCAAGATTTCTCTTGGCCTCTCCTCCGATCCCTCACACCTGTGATTTTTGGGCCTTCCACTGTTGGATATCCTAAAGCTTTGTTTCACTGGAAGGAGTTAGTAGGCAAATTATTTCATCAGGCAAACCAGCACCTCTCCTGCTGATGGCTCCAGCACCATTGCCTTACAAAGGCTCCACAGATGACTCAGCTGTAACAGCAGTTGAAAATGAAAATAACGCCTGTAAATTTAATTATGCTTTGGCAGGAAGTTTAATGCAATCTTGAGAACAACACACAGAATCGTGAGTATCAGATGAGTTAAAGTTTTCTAAAAAGCGATGAAACAAAGCAAACAAAAATATAAGGCCTTATGCTGTGTGTACTTTCCCCAGAACCACACCTACTTGGTAGAAACCATTAACCCCTTGTGTTATTTGTCGCATCAACTGAAGTCAGACTTCTTGGATGTAATATGACTGAATTTGGTCCTTCTACCTTTTAGCCATTCTCTGCTCCTTTACAAACATAAGCTAAAACTATCCCAGCGCCTCCGAAATGTAATTGTTCTGGTTGTAAATCATGTTAAGTAGAAAGGCTTGAGCGTGACCTTCTTCATTAAAATAATAGCGATTTCACTGTCAGAGTTATACACCCTGATTAGTCATTCACTTCGTATGTTATTGAGCATTTCTGTGTTTACAATTAGCACAATGACCATCTTGATTACTACTGGAGTGGAATGAGGCTTACAATAAAGCAAAACCTGCCCTCTTGTGTTTAATCAGAAAATTGCACAATATGGTAAAGTTCTCATAGCTGTTTTCCTCTACACGTGCTTAAATTGCCTGGCAGGCCATAGGGGTGGAAAAAATGCTGGAAGATTCGCTGTGAATTCAGAAATCAGAACAGATAAAGCACAGTATTCAGAAGAAAATAATTTCCTACGCAAGGTCTCATAATTTCCTTTTTACATCTATTGTGAAATATTAAACATTTATAAGCAAGCTGTAAAAGTTTGGGGGGAACATTTTAGGTCACTGTGGGCGAAATTCTCTTAGGTTCGGCAAATACACACGAGAACTAGTTAGTTAAATATTATTTACATGATCATTCTGCAGCTGGGGATTGGGGTGACTTCTTTTTCTGTTAAAAACTGTTATTAAGAGGAAAAATTGGGAGAAAGTTTCAAAAACAAATATAAATCACTATATTAAAACTAGATATAAATATTGGAATTTTCAAGTGTAGGTGTGAGCAGTGTCTGAAAATGTCATTTACT